CTTTGTAACTCAATTTTGCGTCACTTCAAAGGTCGTTGCGCCCATTCAAACAGGTCACGCTTTCGAGCGAGAGCCAACGAGGCTCCAAAGCCACTTTGTAAAGCTCAATCTGGCTTCATTTAGACAATCGAATATCCCATTTTGCGTTGACTCAGCTCAAAGTCGCGTAAACTTGAGCGTGCCCACATTAGAGTTATAGGACCCGTTGTGAGAAAGAAACTTTTACAATGTTTGTTGCTTACAAGGTTGGGAAACAGTGGATATAAGTGCTGAGTCGAAAGACTCAGCTCTTTATATGGTCTCGAAGACCTTGTTCCAGAAATATCTTGATACTACTAGTAATTTACTTACTAATAAGTTTGTAATCTATCATGAAAGTGTCTCAAATATATTTTGGAGATTTGGCGAATATTCTACTTATTATTTAAAGTATTATATTAGTATATTGTCCAGAATATTCTAGCAAATGGCATAGCTACACTATGCCTTCCCTCTCAAAGAGATGATAGTTTATTTCATTCTCTTGAGAATGTTTTAGAACCTTCAATGAGACAACGTACGCTCTCCATCAAAGATTACATCAAGTCCCGGTACAATGTGGTCCATTCTTATCCAATAACCAACCTTCATTCCTTTCCCGTTTCTCAATCAAGTCTAATGTACCTTATTATACATAATCAGCCATATATTCCTCAATACTTGTCCATTTGAGTTGATTCTTTTTCTATTAAGTACTAAGTTAACTCTATTTTCTGTTATTCTCTATTATAGCGTCATCTAATCTTACAAGCCCATGCGCCATGCTTGAGGAGGTAGGGGGGAAGAACTCTCTAGAACAATTGACTACAATCAGTGCGGCCACATCGCACTCTTGTATCTGTGGCTGACAATAATCAAAATGTATTAATATTTATTTTCCCCTTGTCATTGGCAGCCAGGGGCTTTGCCCCCGAACCCCCGGTTGATTCTATCCTGTGTCAATCTCGAAGGTGGCTGAGGACCTCGCTTCACTTGGCCCTCAGCCACCACTCTGGATTTCCACAAGGACATGGGCAGATAGCCATTGCGAATCATTTGCCACTACAAATTGTTTGCGTCATTATCATACATGACATAGAGAGGCAAGCTAACAAAGACACCCAAGGTAATTTAAACATAGTAAGAGCCCACTTTGTGTGGGCCAATCCTGAGGATACAAAATCCCACTACGAGCACTGGTTTGAAGAGAGTTTGATCCAAAACAACCATGACATCATGTGCCAATAGACCATGGTGAACTTGCAAATTTGGGCAGAGAATGAACTACCCTCCTGCCCTCCAGAAGTGTGTTCTGAGAAGCACCATAAGGCAATATTCTTGAAGTATATCCGGCAGCAGAGATGGGACATAGCACAAGGGAACCCTATGGAGGTCGAAAGGCTGGCCATTGAGAAGTGTGATAAAATTCTGAGGTGTGAAGTGAGCTAGAGTAGATACAGTGAAAGTGATGTTTTAATTGATGGAGACTACTTGCAAGTATGCAAGAGAGTAGGGAATGCTGGTGAACTTTTGCTGGAACGGAGTGGGTCGTTGAGGTTTTTGTGCAGCGGGGGCTAGGGCACTTGTATTTGATGTGAGTAGCCATTGTGAGCCTTTCCAATGAAGGGGGTCGTATGGGAAATATCTCGGGGTTAGAAAGTGGGGATCCTTGTTCCATTGTACGGGGTCATGGAGGTTTGCTACAATAGCGGATCCTTGTAACGATCGATTGTGTTTGGTTGCATTCTCTCTCACCCCAAAAGGCAAGCCTACATTGCTGCTGCAGGTCTCAGGGGCTTGCGGCTGCATCTGGCAGCCTACTCCAGCGTGGGTGGCCTGCCTGGCCTTTGATTTGTGCCTACGACCCACTCGTTGCGGGTCAGAAATCCCTTCTGGGGTGTCTTGGGACTGCACTCAAGGTGCATGCTCCCTGTGTGGTGGTGAAACAAAGCCATACGTTGTTTCATCTTCTATTGCGGTGTACTTTCGAAGATTCTACTGGCCAATGTGGCTGGTGGAGTTCGACAATGCCTACTTCATTTTTGGAAAAAAATTCAAGAATGTGCATACTTCAAACGTACTGTAGAGCAATTATACTAAATGCGATTTACTCTGGCAAATGAATAGCTGCGACCTGCCGACTTGCATCCCATGGGCATGCTACTAGCACATCACAACACCTGGATAGTTGGGCATGTTGTGGACAAAGCGGGGAGCGAGTGGAGATGCCAGAATTCCACAAACTGTAGGAAAATGCTTCGTGGATTTACAGCCCAGCGGGGGGCAAATTAGAGGTGGCCACTCAAAGGTGCCATCCGGTCCGTTAAATCCGGTTCGTTAATTTTTTTCAGCTGTCCGTTAAATTTCGTTAAAGAAAAAGGGAGAAAATTTCAGAAAAAAGGAAAAAGTTCCAAAAAAATCGAAAAAAAAACCTAAAAAATCACAACAACTGCGGCTAGTTGAAAATCTAGTATGCGTAGGTTGAAATAAAATACAAACATACTCTCTAATAGCGAATTCCATAAACTATAAGTATGACTAAAACCCAAAAATCCCCAAAATTCCAAAAATCCGCTAATTTTTGGTTAATTTTTGTCTTTTTTCGTTATTTTCCCTTAATTAACGGAAAATTAACGGAAATTAACCTCTGTCCGCTATTAACGGATCCGGGTGGCCACCTCTAGGGCAAACGTGTACTGCAGCATTGTGATGATAGGCAGTGTTGCCAATTGTCTGTTTAACTCGAACTGGGGGGTGTTGTGTGTCGTGGGGATGCGCAAGACGTTGCGAGGCAGGAGATATAGCATTTGCATGAGCAGCGCCTTGGATACGTCGGACTCAGATACGGACTGGTTGAGTTTACATGCTGTTGATGTTGCAATGATCCGTGCTGCTCTATAGCTCAAGCATGCGCAGTGGGCAGGCAATTGCGACTCTGATGCTCTTCGGTGGTTCAAGTATGCGAGGAGCTTTCATGACATAGTCGCTGCTACAGAGGTAATGAGAGATGACGCCACGGATTATTAATCTGTAAACAACCCTATATTTGTCGGACACAGATGCTAGTTGGTTAAATTGAATGTCATTCCGGCTGCAATTTTGAAACACTATGCAGCATTTCTAAATGCACTTTCAGGCCCAAAAAGAAAAATTCGGATATTTCTCTACATTATTACTTGTAGCCGTATTTTTATTCCCAAACCTAGTGGCGCAGCATGGCCAGACAATCGCAGCTAGCCAAGGCCCGTAGGAACGAGAGTGACTTTCCACAAATACTTCCACAAAATATGCGAAACTTATTCTGGCAAAACTTTTCCATGTGTATGGTAAACATATACATATCACTATTGTATGATCATGACAAAACATATTATGTTTGCATTAAAACATATTCTGCTTGCATGACTATGACAACCACATGAGTTGGCGACCAAAGTTGTCCAGAATTCGGTGGATAGCCCATGAAAACACACCACCGATGTATCAGGCTGACGAAGGACATGCTGTCTGTGGAGTAGCATAAAGGGGGAGACTACCTCAGCCCAGCCCATCGATATAAAAGACATCATACGACCCCACTGCCCGATGCACTCTTCTGACATGCAGCGTGGAGCTCCACACTGTTGAAACGCGTAATACACCAGCTTTGACACCCCGGCCTGCAGGCTCACGCAAGAAGGGATGCAACGTGAAGGTGCAAGCATGTGGCCCAAGATTGCAAAACTACTCGCTGGGGAGTTCTGCTTGGGGACATCAGAGCAATGGGCATGATCGTGTAAGCTGGCCACGCGGAACCATGGGGGATGGGGAGACCACGGCAGACAGGGTTGCAGTCTTAAGGACCTGGTCATCAACCACAGTGGACGACGAATGTCATCAACTCCCATTTATGGCATGTGCCAGCCCAGTAAGTATGGATACAGCTGTTGGAGTCCACCTTCGACCCCAACACGTTCTACCTTGGCCCATCGATCCAGAAAAGAGTCAGGATATGATATCCTGACTCTGTCGATAATTGACATGTTATGTGCCCGACTCCCCAACTCCCCAATTGTGTTCAACTCAGACAGCAAAGGATGGTTTGTGTGCTAAAGTTTGCCTTCATTTGCGATACTGTAGGTGGGATGGAAGTGCAGGAATCTTCCATGATGCGATGCCGCCATGAGCTGCCAAAACGTGGGGCCATGGACAGACGTTCTCAAACAAACTGCTCAGCGAAAGACCCTGACCAAGGCAGGCAGAGTCGAGGGGTGGCGATCCCTGAACGGCAACTGCAGGTTCCAGACCACGCCAACGGTTTACAGCCAAGCAAAGCGACAACAGAAGTTCTATCCATTGTATCCAGTCCGTTCATCGAGGCCCTAAATGCAGTTCCTAATGCTCCATCACCTCTTTATGCACCTGGTACTAGTACTCAGTCACTTCTAGTTACAACAACCCAGCTTGAAATGCCACCAAATCAGTCAGAATGCAAATGGAATAAGCATCAGCAGTGCGACACGGCGAGACAGCACATCTGCTGCCGCCTCACAGGTGCAAGTGTGTCTGCAAGCGCAATCAAACAGATTGTCGCGCCACAGCGAGTGAACGACAGTGTTCAAGTGCTTATTGTTGAGAAGAGTTGAGAATGGTCGGACGGCTGCCTTGTGCCCCATCAGAACCCCTGGAAGCAGTCCTTCTGCTCCTTATTCGATCCCACCACCCTCTTTCGGTGGTCAACATCGCCATTGTCCGTGCAGTTAGGCACTCCCACCCTGCAGCTTCCAACCCGCCACAGCGTCCGACCTGCGGCCACCGCTGAAGGAACGAACTATGACCCACCACTAAATATTGCTCATCAACGCCAACGGGCATCCAGCTCCCTACTGAACTTCGACATCCGAACATTGAACGGGAAATTCGAGCCGTGCATGAACATTGTGACCACGATTGAGCCACGCATGGCCATGCGCGGCTGTGAGCTCCCACGTTCTTCGCTGGAGTCACGTGCTGGCCCCAGATTCCAGTATTTCAAATGTGAAACCCTTCTTGCGCAACCTGTGGAGAAGGACAGGTCCCATCGCGGTGGCGGGTGTCAGGACGCCACCCTCCAGGGTGCCAGCCTTCTTCAGATTGTCTGGCTCGAGTGCGAGGCACAGCGCGCTCTCCAGGACCATGCGGGCAGTGCTGACATATGGTTCGTGAGGATCCTGCACTCTCAAAAGGTCCCGTCAGCTAGCTGTTTCGCCAAGAACACCGTTACGGGAATTGCATGGCAGTCACGTACGTAACCATCGCAATACAGTTCAGCAGGTCTTTATTCCCTTACGCATCGGAAATTTTACTTTTACACTTTTTGCTCCGCATTTTGTTTTCAGAGTGTTTCCATTATTTTTGTTACATTCTCCGCAAAATTCTATTACTAGAAGGGCGCTATTTATTTTGTTGTTTTCTCCGCAGAAGACGGCCAAAACGTTACGTTACCAAGTTACGTTACTATGTGGGAATGGCTGTAAGCCTTCGGTATCGTATTTTTGCAGTGGAAGCACTTTATTTGGCCACAACCATGATTTTGGAAGCATTGCCACCTGCCATGCACTGAAATGCACTAATTGTTATTCCTGTGGATCCCAGGTAACCATCAAAGCAAAGCATGGTATCGTCACCGAGAAGATATTGGCACCGCTGCTATGGCCGAAGGAAACCAGGAGATGGCTGCTTCATATATGTTTCAAATGCACAACATTTACAATTCATTAACTGGATCACTAAAAATGAGGATACTGTATGGACCGCTGTGGGCCCAACAATAGCAGGGTGTCTGAGATATTCTTGTGCCAGAACTTGCCATACAGTTTGTCCGCACAGGTCTCCTTCATCTTCACAATCCACGGGCAATTCACATGAAGCCTCACACGTGCAACACAAAACAAGCTCCAGGGTATCCTCCTGACGAGATGCCAACTTGTGCCTACTCGCACGTACCGCCACTTTCGCCTTGACAACCTTTGGCTTCACTCCTGGCTCCTCTTGTGTGAGGCCCACCATGTAGTACTTCCAATGCCCCTTCCTCTGGTCTTCCTCAGACGGTCCCTCGCCCGGCTTGGGAATGAACCATCCGAACAACTGCTGCAGAAACTTGAACCTCACGACCAACACTATGGACACGATCACCAACGTCGTCAAGAAGGCACCCAGCCAGTTGTGCCTGTTCCAAAGCTCTGAGTACTTGAAATCATCGCCGTAGGCGTGGCCCAAGAGAGCGTTGCTTCGCCTCACGACCCGTGTGTTGACTGGCGCCATTGGGAAGGGCCCGCACCAGACACGTAGCTCCTTGTGGTAGACCGGCATCAGTGCGTCTGGACCATCGCTGCCACGCCTGTAGACAGCACGCTGAACACATGTGCAGCCCAAAATTGTAACATTTGCCTCAAACTAGAGCTAACAGGTGTCCTTGCAGCCTCACGCAAAGTCACAGATTGTAACTGTTGTTTCATAGGAAGCCCTGCAAGGCTTCAGCGAAGCGGTGCAATCGTCAGTGCCAACTTAAGCAAACGTGAATAGATGGCCCTCAACCCAACAATCGTATTCTCCTATTTGTTGTTTTCAGCAGCGATGCTGTGGCTCTATATATTAATACGACTAATACAACACAGCATCACACAGCATCACAGTGCACATCGCTGCAAAATTGCCAAACCTTCAATGCTAACCCATCTTTTTGTTTACATCACACACGTTCCTTCTGTAGGGCGATATTAAGTAATTGATAGATTCAAAATGTCCACCATCACCCCGCCAACAGTGGGAATACAGCAACCTGTTGCATCATCATGAGCCCAAATACGACACAATAAAAGGGACATCTGTCAGGACGCTACCTGCCATCAGGTGGGTCCAGGTGGTATGGATCCGCAAGTAATTTGGCCATTTCTGATGGTGTGCGCTGCTCAGTCATCTTTATGGCTGTGGAAATTGTGCCGCCACTAAAGCCCCCTTCCATTCGCATGAGCACCGCATCAACCTTGTCGCACTTCCTGACGAGATGCAAGAAACCACGGCCTTAAGCTGTAGGTTGTTGAAAGACAAGACAAAGCACTTTACCAAAACACTCAACAATGGGCACAATCTGCTTCTGAAATGGCCAGAAACAGCGCAAGTATGCAACATGTAAACACATGTACTACTATCTGGCAAATAAGCAATTTAAGGACAACCATTGGCTGTCATTGCGACATCATGCAAATGGAATCTGACCGATTGCAACTTCATGGGCAGAAACAACAACATAGTCCAGGATGGTGGTGCTCAACATCTCAAATTTCACTTGCTCCACAGCTGTTCACAGCAAGCATAGGGGAAGGACACAGTGAACGCACAATCAAAAGAACACAGGGGCATAACAACCACACGAAAAGCAGTCTATCAAGGACAGAGGTGGACGTTTGCTGCAAAACTGGACGTTTGATGCGGATCCTGCGCCAACCTGTTGAGCTTCTTCTTTATGTGATCGACCACAAACCATGTCCCCAAGTCTGAAGGGACGCTGTCCTGTCCGCAGAAAGGCACGATTCTTACGCCTTTGGCGACTGCAGCATCGTGATATTTGCGTATGAGGTCCCTGACCCAGGGCGTCTCCCCTGCAACAATAGAAAGCCGTGGTGAGCACAACTGCAAAAGTAAAGCTTAACATCTGCAGGAGAGACTCACCATCGCAAACGTGTACACAAAGCACAAAAATTGCAAATTTGCCATTGGTAAATATATGGTACAACCAACTACAACTGATGAGACATCTTGCTAGTGTGTGCCCTTCCTGTCAGTGCAGCACATTCACAGGAACAAGGAACAGGCAGGCATAACCAAGGAACATATACATCCCTGCATCACCAGCATCAACGTGATGACAAGAGATTGGGCTTCTGTGTGTGCTATCTTGTTATCTATCGTTGGCACCTGTAAATCACGGCAGAAAAAGTAAATATGTGCTACATGTAGTACAAATATTTGCAGTTGATGTTGTGTATCTTTGAGCCATGCCTGACTTCCTAAACATGCCTTTGGCATCTGGGCACTATCTAGGCACCTCCAATAAAAAGAGGAAGGTATCATCACCGGAAGTTGCCATTTCTTCTCATATGTCCAATGTCGATGTTTCCAATCATCTATTCATCGCAGGCAGAACTGAGTACACAATTTCCATTCCTTTCCTCGATAGCCATTTCTTGACCCAAGAAGCGATGGAATCCACCCATTAAACATTCTCTCAATATGCTTGGTACCAAGCACAGCTATGTGGAAAACAACACAATGGTCATAGCACCTGCACCTTCCGACTTCAGACCATCAGACAGTGTCAAATTTTCTAGCTGTCCAGAAGGACCTCACGCTGATGAATGAGTAGATAACAGGGGAGCCGTCACTGCATGGAGAACAGCACGTGACCTGAGCCAAGCCAGAAAGACTGCAACAGCAGTGTTTGCACACCTGTGATGTCGCAATATTGTGTTCCCAAACGCACACAGGCATCCACGACACCTTCGCCATAAAGGAAGAATGGACCGGCACAAGCAGCAATCACGTCTGTCTGCCCAACCATGCTATCGATGGATGTCTGATCGGCAGCATCTGCGATGATCAAAGGGACGTCCTGAAGCATGAGATCGAACAGGTGAATACTTATTCACCTACTGCGCAACAGCAAGTGCCAAATCGTGATTTCAAGTAAGTGAATATGGCCAAGAGAAACAAACTTGTGATTGACAGTAACCTACGTTTAGCAGGAATTTGCATAGTGCCGCTAAAGCCATATTGTTGGCGATTTCAGGAAGACATGAGCAATGGACACCTGAGCTAGGGCAAGGTGGTCATCATTGATTCGCTGAAAGGCCCCAACAGCAACAGCTTCAGGATGGCATAGGGAAGCACGCCAATGCCGAAGTGCCAATCTTTGTTCCCCATGGCAAGGTGCATCAGCACCGCTCCTTGGTTGACTGCCCAGCATCCTGGCTTGCATTGCAATGCCCAGCATTGAAACACATCTCAGCCATTCGATTCAAACACTACTGAAAGCCAAAAGAATCATCAAGAGGAATTCAGATATGGAGATGATTCGACTCACCTCACCACAAGCCGCAACTTTCAGAAGGGCTTAAATACGAGTCTGATCGTGGGGACAGAGTTCTCGAAGAGCAGATCCAGTGCTCAGCAATGCTTGCTTGCTGGGAGACGTTCCCTTTTGTTGCATTCGCTTCGTCAAGCCACCACCAATGTTGACAAGGTAGCAGTTGCTGCCAGCATCGACTAGGTGCTTTGAAGCAGTCCCCAGAGCCAAAAGTGCATTGATTTAACGAACATTGACTCACAATTGCACCACTTTCTCCCATTCTCCACCCCAAAAAGGTCGACATGCGCACCTTGCACCTCGCGTCTATCTTTTCCAGGTCAGCGCGCAGGGCCTCCAGCTTTCCTCTGCTCCTGCCCGCCATCCCCCACCGGAAAGCCCCCTGCCATACAATCGAGTCGATCAGGCGGCCCAACCAATGGAGAGCAAAAGAACATCAGCAGATCGTTCCCATGCCACGAGCAGGCTCCTCGGGGTCGCTGGGAGGGGCGACAACAGCAACAAATATAGAAACGAAAACAAGAAAAGCAAAACACAGCGAAATCCAGCCTTGCCACTGGCAAGTTGGAATCGGATGGCATGCCCACGGTGCTCGGACTCCACCGCGTACAACCGTCCACAGAATAACTCAAGCGTGGCGCGGGGCCGCGTGGTCGACTGGGCGACGCGGATGCCCGCGACAAGCGGAAATACAACACGCCGGGGCAGCGCACCGGGTATTCCGCCGCGATCTGTTCGCACATCAGCCTTCCCGTGTAACCGGTGGCGCCCCAAACGACAACTTGGAAAGGGCGGTTGTCCCTTGAGACCGCGGCAGCCATGGCGTCGACTTGGCTGCCTTCTGGCGAAGTCTCGGCAACGCACAGTGTTGCTGACCGGGGCTCGACGCCAACCCTTTTGGACGCCTGAGTGACTCCGTGACTACGTGTCTTGACGTGGACAAAGCATACACACACACAGAGATAATATTACTGCCTGCATCAAATCGGTGACCCCTTGCACGAAAACGGTGACTGCTTGACCACCAAGTCACGTGCACGCTAGGTCCTAGCCTCAGCAATAGAGGTGGCCCCTTTTGTCCATCCACAACAGAATTTGGTTGGCTCCGTTAAAATTCCGTAGAGTCAACGGAACCCGTGACCGGGCCACAGACAGAGAAACTATCTAACAGAAATGGGCGGGGCCATGCTGACGTCAACATAGACGGCTACAGAAATCCACACAACCTTCCAGAATAGAACCATGTGTTACGGAATCCGCGCCGCCGTCTACGGAGGACAGGCCCCCCTTAACGGAACTGCTGACTGGACCACAGAGGTCGACAGAATTCCATCAAAGTTTACGGAGCAACACAGACCTATCAAACGCGTTGAACCCCAGTACAGAAATTCCAACGCCGTTCCGTTGAAATTTTGTAAGACGGGCAATCCCAAAGGCCTGTACTTTGGCAAAGGTGATGGATAATAACCGCAGAGCGGGTCCCGTTCCTGGAACGGACGGCCAAACGCCTGGTTGAGTGCGCAACGGGTATGCATGGCAGACGTGGGGTGCGATTGCCTGGGTCTTTGACGGATGCGGCAGTGCACGCTGGTTGCCCCCGTGGCACGTCCATGTGCCCCTTCAAATCGTTGTTGTCCGTCACGCAGGCAGAATGTACGCCCAAAGCGTTCCCAAGCCCAGTACATTCGATTGGCTGGCATGTGATCATCACTGTGACGTGGCTGCTTGGGTTTTCGGCTTATTTGACATTTCTGGAGTGGGAATTACGTAATTGGCTAAATCGATCCTTTTATTTAGGTTATTTAGAGCTTTCTGGTTCCAACGAGCTTTTAAACGCCCGATTCCGTTAAGAAACGGCAAAGATATGGCCTCCTGAATTTGTAGTACTTAGGGTTAGGGGGTCGGGTGTTAGACGCTTGGAATTAGAGAACAATGGGTCGATCGTAGGTGAACAGTGGATGGTGACTGGGTGCCTAGACGCGCACATGAGTTGTCTTGTCTTGATGTGACAGCGATGGACCCGCGATCGGGTATCGCGCATGCGATATGTGCGCGCGCATGCTGTGAATCCGTGTAACCGTTCTGGCCCACTCTCTGGCCTCCCGCGAGCCAGCGAACCACCACCTTGCTGCGCCGCCACCTCTCGCCGACAGCAGGCCCTGGGGATCGATCCCCGTCGAGCATTGGGCCCACCGCGCGACCGCCGAAACGTCTGCCCCGGAAACGCCCACCGTCCGAGGTGGAGAGGCCAGCCGACCTCCAACGGCTGTGCTGCAGGGCAGGGCAACCCCAGAGCCTCGGGAAACCAGCGGCTGCCGACGGGCCGCAACAATCACATTGTGATGTGACGCCCCTAGGGTATGTGAAGTGCTGCGTCGGGGCCACTGTTACGCACAGCGGCTTGATGTAGGGGACGCCTTACTAACGGCCCTTGGTGTGGGGGACGCCCTGCCCAAGATACCTAATCCTCAACCCACAATAACCGCTCTAGGTATTAGGATACGGGAGTAGGAGGAGTCGTCCCGCCTAGGTCCCCGTAAGGACCTAGGTGTCCGGCGAGGCGGGTCTGCGGCTCAAAGAGAGCAGGAGCCCCACACCCACAATCTCCACGTATCATTTGGTTTCGGAGCCACCTGGGGGTGGCTACCACGTTTTTGACTGGGAGGGTGCAGAAGTAGAAGCAACAGGGCTTCTTCCCCGGCCTCCTCCATGGAGGCTGAGGAAACGGAACCTACAGCCCGACAGGGCACCCCCGAAATGGGGGAGGAATCACCCCGACAGGGGACCCCGGCAAGCTCAGCCGGTGAGGGAACTAGAGCCCGAAATGGGCAAGAGTAGGAAGAAGTCCCAAAGGACATAGCCAGTATATCATCGGGACAAGCGGAGCCAGAGGAGCCTGACCACCAGATGACCGAGGCGGAAGTGCCCCAAGAAGAGGAGGCGGCGGAGCCGGGTACCATGGCGGCCCTTCTTCAGGCACTGGGCATAATAGAGCTCCTAGAGCAAATGGCGGCTGCCGCGGCTTCGCGGGCCCAGGAGACGCGCGACAAAGAGACCGCCGCCCGGATCGCCAAGCCGGAGATCGCGGCGGCCTCTGCGCAGAAGGAGGCCAGGCAGCACGAAGTTGCCTTGAAGAAGGCCAAGGAGGCCAATCGCCAGGCTGCAGAGGTGAAGGCATCGGCGGAATAGCAGGTTGCCGTATTGAGCGACCGGTTGTTGAAGCAGAAGATGCGGGCGAGAGAAGCGGAGGAGAAAATCGCCCAGCCCGCAAAACAGGCTGAAAGGGCCCCCAGTCCGACTGGACAACCGATGCCAATGATTCCAGAAGTCGAGGGCGACTGGAAGACAGCTGGCAAGCCGCGGGCAAAAAGAAAAATCCCATCGCCAGGTGAGACCGAACAGAGAGATCGGACGGGTTCACAAATAGACCGAAAGGCTAAGACCTCAGATTCAGTGAGGGAGATCGGAGGCCGAAAGGCCAATATCCCAGAGCAGAGGGTCAGGTCACAGGTGCACATACGGACACCAAGTGAACCGGAAATGAGTAGTGACGAGTCGCTCACAGAAAGCGCTCGTGCTGTATGCGGACCAAGTCCGGACAAGCTGAAAGGTCAAGAATGGAGTCCCTGGAGACCCACATTACCGGAGTGGGGACCAGGAGAGAGTTGCAGAGTGCTAGAATTTATTACAGATACTGGAGAACCATACAGCCAGCAGCCCCCATACCGAGCTAAGTGGACTAAGTTCCACAGCGATCGCATCGACGATCTGGATGAAGGCTGGCAAATGGCCGATGAACGGTTTGGGGAAAGATTAACCATCGTGAGATTGATAAGGATTCAAAGGTGGTATGGTCCTGGAATGGCCGATCAGATTGCCAAAGAGGACCCAAATTGGCCAGAAAAGATGGCCTTTGCACTCAGGCATATTCCCGAGCCTTGGGACTTGAGCGAGGGAAGTCCAGAAAGACCGAATCCTAACGATCCTCACAAATGGTGGGAGGAGATCTCCGAATTGTCGTTTTCATTATGCACTTCCCCGTTACCGGGCGATATGTCAATACGGGGCACAAGTGCATAGAAAGGAAAAAGAGAGACGATATTTTTGTAACTGGGATCGGTTTGCCCGTGCGAAGAAATTGGATGAGCGAAAGGTTCGGAAATCCAGCCAGCGCAGAGAGGTGAGAGCTTTACGGTGTGAGCGGGACCGGAAGTTGAATCCCGAAAAATATGAGCATAAGCAAGCTCATAAACGTTAGCGCAAGGCTGAGATCAGGCGGTTTTATCTCTGCAGGAGGCAGCCAAAAGGCACAGCGCCTCAAGGCTAAGCCAGTGGCTGATGAGCTGGACCCGGCCAGTCAAGCTCAAGCTTTTGCCGAGCTTAAAAGGAGCCAACCGCGACAGGTGGCCAGATGGGCTGATGAGTCGAGTGGGAGTGACAGTGGTGTCACCCACCTCGCTCGATTTGGAATGACGCAGCCTGAAAAGGCATCGCCTCCAGTTAAAGAGGCAAGAGCACCGGAAAAAGCATCGCCTCCGGATAAAGCGGCCAACGTATCGGAGAAAGCAAAAATTCCGGTGCAGGAGGTGCAGCCCTCGAAGGAAAAGAGACAGCCTAAAAAGGCAAAGAAGCAGCCTAAAAAGGCAAGGGAGGAATCCCAAGGAACTCAGAGACCAGTTCCAGGTAACATTGCTGATGCAGTGCCTCCCTTGAATCCTATTCAGAGTACACACTTGCGTACACGTGCAAAAATTGGAGATTCTGTTGGTAATGACGAAGTTGGGTATCTCAGATTGGCAGACACACTAGCCGAACCTATCTCCCGCAAAAGGAGGGAAGATTATGCTGCTGTCAAGAGATAGGAATCCGCCTTAGAGAAGGCGAGGGCAGAAACTGTAAAGGCTGCCCGAATGCTCGATGCAACGGGCGAGGAGGATTATGCTGAGTTTGTCCAGTTCTAGGCGGCTCGGCGTAAGGGCCACCAGCCCGCCCAACAGCCAAGAGGGCCTTCAGTTGGGGAGAGCAGTCATGGACCAGGCCCCCGGGGAATTGTTTACCGGCAGGGGAAACCTGATCCAAGGTTCCAACAGCGCATGGCGCAGTAGTAGCAGCAGCAGCAAGAAATGGGTTATACCTATTCCAGGGGGCCAGTTCCCGTGATGAAGGCACCTGTGATACAGGATGCCCACGGTTTCTGGGACATGCTTGGGGCGTTCCACGACCCTTACGGTGGTGTGTACTACAAGGGGTACTACCATCCAAGTGGTCAACGGGCCCCGTACCATGCGGCGGTACCTTTGGACGCTTTGCAGCGCATCCCGGCCAAGTTGTGGGAACTGTTTGAAGCGCATCAAATAGCACTGAGCATATATGTGCCTGAGAGCCAGGATGCAGCCATAGAGTGGCAAGCTGTTCAGCTGACGGGTTGACGAGTTCCTATAGAAGGAACCGTGCAGTTACCATCGGGACCATCAAGGCCGCCTGGTCCTTCAGCACCAGTCCGTCCAACGACCTAGCCAGAAATGGCAGCCCGACAGCCCAAAATGGTGCCAAGACAGTAGGCAGTGCCTTTCACAATGGGCCAAACTGGATCAAAGGGGACACAGCCTCCGATGCAGACTATGCAGCAGAAAATTCAAAGGTTGCAGGAGATGTCTCCATTCGTGCAAGATCCAGTGAGCAGTCAGGCACCCCAGTACATTGAGCCACAAGTGGTGTATCAGTATCAGCAGCCCGAAAGGGTACAACAGCCCGAGAGGGTACAACTAGCGGCAACAGCCCCAAGGCAGCAGGTGATCCCATCTCAGACTCCTGGGGAATT